CATTGAGCTTGTAAATCTTTGCTAATCTGGGATGCACTTAGAGCTCTCTGCTCTAAGTAAAACCAATGGTCCAGCTGGGTCTGGAGGGAACTTTCCAGGATGGTTGATAAAGAAAAGCACGTTTGCCTGCTTTACAGAGTAGACTTTTATGGACTCAGGACCCAGCCATAAGCCACTGACCTTTTTCTACTGCCCTGTTCCCTTTAAAGAGTGGTATTATTTCCCATAAGGTAAAAAGACACTTTAAGATAGTATAACTGTTAGTTACAGTATTTTGGCCCATATACAATGGATGTTTTGGTTCATATCATTTAGAAAATGAGAAAAGCAATAGAAATAGTAGTCTAGGAACATTTAGAATGTGTCTAGGTTATTACATTCTTGGGTATCTAAGATGAATGAAAGCAACTATCTACCAAAGTCACATAATTCAGAACAACCCAAATATCTGTCAAGAGGTGAATGTTTAAAATAATTGTAGTATATTCCTATAATGAAATGTTAGTTAGCAATAAAAAGGAATGAACCTCAAAATAATAATGCTAGGTGAAAAAGTTATGATTGCTCTGCCAGAAAATTTGAAAAATACAATGTCAACTTTACTTTCTTAAATCAATTTTGTCTTTAGCAAATTCTAAGCTATGTAATAGTATATCAATTTTTGAATAGTAAAGGCACATAAATAAAGGTCTTCTCCACCCCATAATCAAAGGAAGATTACTTTAGTAAACTAGAAATCCAAACTTATAAATGGAGAATAACTCTAAAAATATACATTTTATAAATAGCTTGGCTTAGTGATAGAAGTTTATGTTGACAATTCCAAAAATAGAGGGGAAAAAGCCACTTCTTCCAACTATGCAAGATAGGCCTTGCCATGCCCCATTTTCCAACACAACTCTCAACAATCAAATATATCTCATTATGTTTGAAGTTATTAAAATGTTTAGCCAAGGTTTAGAATGTTTTAAAAAAAAATTACATTTAAAAAAATGTTTTTAAAATTGATTTCAGAGAGGAAGGGATAGGGAAAGAGAGAGATAGAAACATCAATGATGAGATTCACTGATCGGCTGCCTGTTGCACACACTGGAGATGGAGCCCACACCCCCGACATAAGCCCTGACCAGAATCCAACTGTGACCTCCTGGTTCATAGTTCGATGCTCGACCACTGAGCCACGCCAGCCAGGCTGCTTTGTTTTTTTTAATGTTGTGCCTTTACCAAACTATCTTCAACTTCAGAAACATTTCTGACTAAAAAGCGTGTATATGTGGATTTAGGAATAGTTGTAACTGTAGATAATCCTAACTCCTGAAAAGTAATATCCAGAACAGATGTGCAGTTTGGTGTGCCCAGCATTATCCTGAGGTTCACACTCTCTGACAGAGCTCTGGAATTAGGTCCTTTGTATAATATTTTTTATTACTTAGAAAAGTAACAGAAGTCATTACAGCATTCTTCAAGTGATGGGATCTTAATGGGGGGGGGGGGGGGAAAGGTAACCTATTAGCATATGGAAGGTGTGAGGTTAAATCTCCGACCCCTTTTATACAAAGAATGTCAGCATGCCCATTAAAAATAAAATATCCACAGGAAAATACATAAGTAAATCTATGGTTTATATTCCATATTAAGACTTCAAAAAGAGGCGAGATAATCTTAGGAATAGGAGAAGTGTGCACTGGATTCTGAAACAGCTTTTCCAGGATCTACTGAGAAGAAAGACAGTGGGGTGGGGTGAGGGGTGCAAATTATTTGCTATTAGGAGGACAAAAGGTTGATTGTTATTTTTTCACAGGGCTGAACAGTATTATTTTAGATCATTTGACTAAAACTATGGACATCTGAACTTCTTTACTATAGTGGGTAATGGTGTAGTACATACAATATCTTTGTCAGTAACACTGCGGGTTTTATCACTCATTAAACCCATGACTGACCCTGATGTATATTGATTACTATTCATAAGAAATGGCAAATGCAACATTCATTAATTGCAAAAACATTTATAGCTATAATTTCTATGCAGATTAAAGCAATTAATTCACAAAAAAGGGTATCTAATTACAATAGTCTTATGTCTATTTCCTGGGCAGTTTCAAGAATTCAGATGAAGCAACTTGGGGATGAGTTTTGACCTATGTCTTATAAGGCTCCAAGGAGAATCTTAATTGGTAAGAGGGAGAAAAGCTCCTGGCAGAATCGTGGTAACAATACAGGAGGGTACACTTAGCAAAAGAAGAGCAATTGGCTTAACCAGGCTACTGACCACAGACCATGAGCCAGGTTGCAGAGTTTACATTAATCTCACAGGTATTAGGAATCACATTCTTAAGCACAAGAAAAGTAGAAACTTTCATACACAGGGCAGACTATCTTCCCTTAAAATGTTTTTTTTTTTAAACCTTGAAACAGAAGCTGGGATGCATTTCTTTACAAAAAAGCAACTCATGCATTAGAAAAAGACGTATCTAGAAAATTAAGCATTACATGCTCAATCTTATAGAGCAAGGATAATGTTTGTAGCTTTCAAGTTTTTTTCTGAGAATAAAAATTGCTTTTGAAAAATAAAATAGTGAATAATCAAAATGAAACTAACAATTTTAAGCTCTCTGAGGTCAAGTTTCTCTAAAATTATCCAAATAAATTAAGGTGATAATGTCCATCTTTAACTAAAAAGATACACTACTGCCCTTCAAGTTAAGATGTCTTAATTTTCCAGAATTCTGTGTTAACCTTAACACAGAATTAGTTTACCTGACCAGAGAATCCTATAATATAGACATGTTTTGTTAATCTTATTAGAAAGTACTTCAAGGAATCCTTTGAAATGAGTGATTTGTAAACATTTTGAAATTTGGTACCATAGATATAAAACCTAATATGTAAATTGTCCCCTTGGGAGTTCCATCACTCACTATGACACGCACTGACCACCAGTGGATGGTGTGGGACGAAGGAAGGCCCCGGCCAGCAGCCAGCAGCCAGCAGCCGGGGAAGTGAGGCCCTGGTTGGTAGTTGGAAGGCCTGAATGGCCCTGATCACTGCCAGGCCTAAGGGACCCTACCATGTATGAATTTAATGCACCGGGGGCCTCTAGTAGGATTATAAAATAATGACTTATTAACTCACCCGCACTCATTTCTATTAGAATAGTAAAAAATAAACTTTGGACAACAGTGCCTAACTCTTTCTGACTTTCTTGATTATCCCGCTGACCCTTATCTAAAGCCATTGTCACTAAAATCATGACCCTTCTTTGTGAAATCTTTCCTGATGTCTACCTTAAGATCACTTACAAAATATGTAGGATGAGAAAAACACAAATGCTTGCTTGACACAAACACTACCAGTTTCCACGTATGAGCTACTCCAAATTTAGCCCAATACTGGAATTTCACACTTTTATCAACATGTTCACAATTGTGCCGGGTAAATACACTGACAACTAAAACTTATATAACTAATCAATATCTTATTTTCCAGCATATGCAAAGTTGATTTTTTTAAAGTATCTTTTGTAGATTGCTTGCTCTGACTCAGACAAATCTAATAAATCAACTCTGCATTTTTAATGCCATATAAATTGAATATAATTCTTATTACTTATAAGGCTCACCTTTTCTAACGTTTTAATAGTAAAAAAGTAACTAAGAACTTCTGGTGAGAATTTTAATAAGAATTATGATTTACTTATACTCAAGTTTGATATAAAAACTTAGAAGTACTTTGTTGATCAGATTTGAGGTTTAAAATCTCAGATTGGAAAAAAAAATTTCCCAAAACACTTTGGCATAGAAGACTTTTGGCTCAAATTTGAGTTAATTTCTGATCCTATGTAAGTTTCCACTTCATTTAGTACAAATTGTCTTGTTTCGGAAACACTTCAGAGAAAAAGCAAGAGAAAAATGTCTTCACCACATAAAGACCCAATGCTACTTGCTCTTTCCAGACTATTGTGTGCTGTCAGTGGCCCTCATCGCAAGAATGTATGTGCTCTCTGCTTTATCAAAGACAATGTCTATGAGTTATTCCCTAACTTGATCTATTGATTAAAGGAGGCATTAATGAGATAAAGAGTTTCTTCCCCTCACAAAGTTAACTGGTCTTTATGAAGATGACATCTGACTTTATCAGCACAGTGCCCCAATGGACAAGTCAACAGTATCCAAAACGAGTGACATTCTGCCGAATCCCACTTCCACAGCTGATTCTAACCCAATGCAAGAGAGCTGAGGGGCTTCCCGGTTGCTTTGCCCACCTGAGAGAAGTGCAATGAGCTCCTACCTCCCAATTCCTTCAAACCCTAGGAATCCTGAGCACAGAGAAGCCCTGTGGTCTCAGGAATGAGTTTCTGCCCACGAGTCAGATAAGTAGCTGTGCCAGAAGAAAATATGGCCACAGTCTTTCCCTCTACATAAGATACCTGCACAGCCAGTACTCCCTGAGGGTTCATCGAGGAAAAATGTGCTGATAAAAGCCAACAAAGAAACTCAAAACACTCCCCGGGGAAGATCCTTCTCTTCTAATGATTTTGATATTGTCCCTTTGGAAGGTTCACTAGAAAGAATTTTTCCTTTTCTAACAGTATCATTCTGACTGTTAATAAACTTTCCTATAGTAGTCTCCCCAAGTCAATATTCCTGTTGTTACTTTTCAAATTATCCATTTCATACTTTTTTTAAAGCTACACAATATAAAAATTAGACAGACTTCAAGACTGACAGAATGTACACTGGAGGCATAATACATTTCAAATAAAAAAAGACCTCTATGGAATAAAAATGAATACTAGCAGCAGTATGGGAGGAGCAGGAAGGGAACAGATAGTAGAGTCTCTGGGAAGAGCAACATTAACTGAAGTATCTTGGCAGAAAGATAGCTCGAAGTTTTACTGCGGGCTAATCTTTAGTGAGGACAGGTCCTTGGAGCACAAGTTTCTCTCTTTCCTAATATCTCTTCCATTTTTAATGCTAAAACATCAGATAAGAGCCTACCTGACATTTTGGAGAATTTGCTGTGCTGGGATTGATATTCCGCATTGCCTAAGAGTGAAAAATAAGATGGATAAAAATTACTTCAAGCCACATGGTTTGGCTATGTAGGCTGACTTACAAATTGTATCCAGACACATCACCATCGCACAGAATTCCCAAGCTGGCCCGAAGCAGCAGACTGAGGAAGACAGGAGCCAATGGAGTCACCAGACAACAAACTGAAACCTCTCAAGCATTGCACAGCATCGAGGACAGGACAGCAAGACCAGGTGTCAGGACCCAGATCAGATTTGCAATTGGTCAGGTAGGTTCTTTGCTTCTGAGTATTAGGTGAAGCAGGAAAAACATAACTTGATGTTTTAGTGATAAGAGAAACTGTCAATGGAAGAAGTTCACAGGAAGCCAAAAGACTTAAAGACATATGTTATTTATGCCGATTGCTAAAAAACAAAAACCCTAAAAACATAGACTATTAGTATAAGAATAGAGCAGTTCTGTCATTTCAATGCAAGAAAAGATAACGCAGTTGGAAGTAAAGAAGAAACAGAGCAAGAGGTTACCCAAGAAGTTACCTTCCAAGGAAATGAAGCTATTCTGCCAGGACCCATCACCCAGAGTCAAAGTGAAAACAGAAAAATTCTTTGGAAGGAAGCGTTTTACAAGGAGCAGCATTCTGCCCACCAAAATACCACCAAAAAGACACCAAAAACAAGCCAGGCTGGTTTATAACACACACCAAAACGATAAGTACCCATTTCTAGACTTTTATATATGAAATTATAAACAGTAACACTTTGACATAAGTAATTAAATCACTTTAATGAGATTCCTTGGTTTTCAGAGTCTTCCATTCATATGTGAAACTAAGACTTGTACTTACTTAGACCATCTAGTACTCCATAACAACAAAACAAAAAGCAAGCGTGAAAACAGGCTGTGTAACGAGTACCCTTAAATTACTTTACTTCTCCTAATGGGTCACGATGGCCCCCTTTGTTCTGAAGATAAAGTGTTAAGTGAGAAATCTTTTCTTTAGAGTAACTTGTTAGAAAGTCATTAGAGACACCGTAAACGGGATCATATGCTTCCTGCCCCCACCTTCTCAATGGCAGATGAAGAAATATTTCTTGCAAGACCACTTCCTGACACCACCTGCTGGCACAGACTCTCCTTCCTCTGGGGCCACCATGGTGCCAGCTACATTATCATTCACTGAGAGCTTACTGACAGCACACACACTTTAAAGGTGAGTCTGTCAGGGATTTCATGGCTTATTGTAATTCCTCAGCTTCCAGATCCTCAAATCCCAAATCAGAGTTCAATTTAGTTCATGCATTTCCTTTAACACTCTAGTGACACTTTTTAAATATAGCCCTCATTACAAAAAAAAGTACCTTGTTTAAATGCCCACTTCCTGGTAACAGACATGTAGAATATTATTTTTTAATATCTATACTTAGCACGCTATGATTTAGGTGGGGGAGGGAGAGTATAGACACATGTATTTAATGTTTATAAACGAATTAAGAGAGTTCCTGAAAACAAAAACAAACAAAAAAAAAACAAACAAAAACACACACACACACACAAAAGCAAGAAACTGACAGCTTTTACCATTTATACTTATTTTTATTACCCCCAAAATTTATAGAAAACTTAAAAAATAAACTGCTTTGATAAGATCACACCCCCATGATCTAGATAAAGTAAATATTGATTTTTAGATGAGGAATTATCCATTCTTATGGAACATAAAGACCAACAGTAGTTTCTGAAAGAAAACTGATAGAAAGGTCATAAAGGGTTTTAATATCTCTAATGTCCTTTCCTTCCCAACAAAAAACAAAAAACAAAAACCCCATTAGCAGGTAATTTTTACAGAATTTGGCACCTTCCAAACTTAGGATAACTTGTGTTATGTTTTAAAAATCTTAGATTGAGCCCTAACCGGTTTGGCTCAGAGAATAGAGCGTCAGCCTGCAGACTGAAGGGTCCCAGATTCGATTCCGATTAAGGGCATGTACCTTGGTTGCAGGCACGTCCCTAGTAAGGGGTGCGCAGGAGGCACCTGATCGATGTTTCTCTCACCTCAATGTTTCTAACTCTCTACCTCACTCCCTTCCTCTCTGTAAATAAAAAAATCAACAAAATATATTTTTTTAAAAATCTTAGATTGAGCAATACTGAAAGATAGTTGTCATATGAGAAATACCCTGGAGTATTTCCCCAGATCAACAATTCATTTAAAGTAAAAGATGTTCTTCCCTAAGCGGTAGCCCCAGGGTTTCCTTGTTAGTGAATGTTCAGAAGTAGTAATCTGCAAAAGCTCAGTATTCTGCAATTCCAGGGACATGTGAAGAAGCACCTTTGCTTCCTTCAATTTTTGCGTGCCTGCAGTTACCGCAGCCCAAACCTCTCTGTGATACGTTTTACATGTTACATTCCATGTGATCAGAGCCCAGTCAAGAAACTAAACTAAGATAAGGACAGAGATGGATAGAGTGTTTCTGTGTCACTCTATACATCCAAATTCCAGTAGGAAAACGGACCCCAAAAAGTGGAAGGCTGGTTTCTAACCTGTGGCCTCACCTGCCGAAGCAGTTCTTGCTGCTTCAGTCGCAGCCTCTCTTTCTCCATCTGCAGTTGCTGCAGCCGCATCTGTTGCTGCTGGTTAGAGCTGCCGCCACCCAGGACTCCTCCCTGAGGGCTCTGGGGAGCCAGGGGTGGTGGCTGCTTCACTGGAGCACTTTGACTGATTCTCTGGTTCATGGCTGAAATGAAACAAAAGATGCGTCCTAAAAAACTAGCAAAGGAAAGGGATACTTAGTTATTCAAAGCAACTGGGGATACTTAACTGAGGATATTAGTCCCTTTCTGTAGTAAATCTGGAAATAACCTAAAGACCCATCAGTAGTGAAATGGTTATGTCGTTTATTACTACTAGTAGTCAGTCATGTTGTTATAAGCTGCGAGGCAGCCACAGAGAAAAGAATCAAGGGACAGCTCCAACTGGCAGCGAATGACAAGGAGCAGTCTAGGACACATGAAGTTAAAAGCAAAGTGCAGAGCAGAGAGTATAAAATAAAGGGGGAAATGTACACTACATGCCTATCCAGAGAATATGAATTGAACAGCAGCCAATAAACAACCAATACACGTTGGCTCTGGAGCTGGGAAACTGTTTAACTAAAGGACTGAATAGAAGAGAGACATTTTTGGTAACTTTTTAAAGCTTGAATGGTATGAATGCATTGCTTATTACAAAATAGAAATGCATATTTAAGTTAAAAACACATCTCCCACCCTGGCCAGGTAGCTCAGTTGGTTAGAGCGTCTTCCATATATACCAAGGTTGTGGGTTCGATCCTTGGACAGGGCACATACAAGAAACTAATGAATGCATAAAAAAGTGGAACAACAAATCGACATTTCCTTCTCTCTCTCAAATCAGTAAAAACAAAACAAAACAAAACAAAACAAAAACTAAAAAACCATAAACATCACCCAAAGCAAGTGAGACAAAAGATTCTGAGCAGTAAAGCCCATCAAAATGATCCCTGGTGGGGCATTGTCTCATACACCTCAAAGGATGCAGGTTCAGTCCTTGGTGAGGGCACATACAGAAGGCAACTGATGCTTCTTTCTCTCACTTCCTCTCTGTCAAAAGTCAATAAGCATATCCTGGAGTAAGGATTAAAAAATATTACCAACCTGTAATACATCCTAAAATATATAACTCTTAGAGGTCTGATGCACGAAATTCCTGCAAGGGGCTCGGCCCTTGCAGCCCGTTTCATCCGGAAAGTTGTCTGGAAGGATGTTCAGCTGTCCAGTCTAATTAGCATATTGTGCTTTTATTATTATCCTATATAGTAAAAAGGCTAATATGCAAATCAACCGTACAGCAGAATGACCAGTTGCTATGACACGCACTGACCACCAGGGGGCAGATGCTCAATGCAGGAGCTGTCTCCTGGTGGTCAGTGTGCTCCCACAGGGGGAGCGCTGCCCCGCCAGAAGCCAGGCTCATGGCTGGCTAGCGCAGCAGCAGTGATGGGAGCTTCTCCCGCCTCGCCTCTGTGACATCCCCTGAGGGCCCCCAGACTGTGAGAGGTGCAGTCCGGGCTGAGGAACCCCCCCACCCCGAATGCCCGAATTTTGTGCACCAGGCCTCTAGTAGACCATATAAAATCCTAATATGCAAATCGACTCAACGGTGGAATGATGGGTCACTGTGATGCTCACTGACCACCAGGGGGCAGATGCTCAACATAGGAGCTGCCCCAGACCCCTACTGGCAGCAGCAGCGGGGGACAGGGCGGTGCCAGGCTAGTCAAGGCGGGTGCGAGCAGGGGCCCCAATCACCCCGTCAGTCATCTCACAGATCGACCCTGATCGCCAGCCAGGCCTAGGGACCCTACCTGTGCACGAATTTCAAGCACCGGGCCTCTAGTACACTTATAATAAAGTATATTACATTGATCTGCTGCATGCTAAAAATAAGCCTACAAACATCTGGATGGCAGAGAGCTATCTCATTCAATACCATGATACCCCCAATACAGCCAGGTAGTCACAATTTTTTTAGTTGAACCTACATTACACCATCTAACAATTAGAAATGGACTGGATTCTTATGCTAGTGAGTTTCAGTTACTGATACAACCACACTGTGAATTGTGGTAATCTCGGTAAGCAGATGGAAATTTTATTATGTGAAAACGTTAAGAACGATGTATCACTTTTTCAGACGTTAAAATTAAAACAAAAATTCTTTTAGTCTTTATTGTTGAGAGTATTACAGATGTCCATCTTTTTCCCTCCATACCCCCTCTACCTGGTTCCCGCCTCACCCTAGGCATTCACTGCTCTATTATCTGTGTCCATAGGAAATGAATATATGCAGAAGACCTTTGCTTAATCTCTTCCTGGCCCCCTTTCTTTGGGACTTGCCAGTGTGTTCCATGTTTCCATGCCTCTGATTCTACTTTATTTATCAGTTTATTTTATTCATTACATTTTTTGTTTAGATTTTTAGGTTTAATTGCTCATTGATAGATATGTCATCGCCATTTTATTGTTCATATTTTAAAAAATACATTTTACTGATTTTGGAGGAGGGAGGGAGAGGGGGAGGAAGGGAGATTAATGATAAGCATCAATGATTGGCTGCCTCCTGCATGCCTACTACCGGGTATCAAGCCTACAACCCAGGCACATGCCCTTGACTGGAATTGAATCTGGGACCCTTCAGTCCGCAGGCCGACATTCTATCCACTGAGCCAAGCCAGCTAGGAGTATGAATATATATGAATTTATATATAAAATCATTTTCTTATTTTCTTCTTCTTCTTCTTCTTAAATAATACCCTTCAACATTTCATATAATACTGATTTGGTGATGAAGTTCTTTAGCTTTTTCTTGTCTATGAAGCTCTTCATCTGATCTTCAATTCTAAATGAGAGTTTTGCTGGGGAGCGCAATCTTGGTTATAGGTCCTTGCTTTTCATCACTTTCAATATTTCTTGCTACTCCCTTCTGGCCTGCAAAGTTTCTGTTGAGAAATCAGTTGGTCATATGGGTGCTCCTTGTAGATGACTAATGGCTTTTCTTTTGCTGCTTTTAAGATTCTTTGTCTTTAACCCTTGGCATTTTAATTATGATGTGTCTTGGTATGGGTCTCTTTCACCTCAGTCTTTCCCAGAGTCTGTTATAAACAATAAGAACTGTCTTACCTCAGGACTTTTCCATTTGATATTTCTCACCGGACTGTAATTTTTATTTACAAATTTGTGTATATACTCTCTTAGACTGGAGTGCCACAGGAGTGGGGACATAACCACATATATACAGTAGGTCCTCGGGTTACATTGGCGTGACGTAACACTATTTTTGCCATAAGTCAGAACCAAGCTACATAAGCACCTACGTCACTCACACGGAGCACATACACAGCAGTAATGAAGTGAAGCAGTAAAAAAACATGTAAAAGATAGATAACAACTCCTGTCCTTTACTTGTGGTAAATAAATAATAAAAAACATAAAGCACATATGTACGTATGTTGAAATGATAGAACTTTAAATAAATAAATGGGAGATGGCGACATAAACAGGAAACAACGTACGTCAAGTCCAACATAATCCAAGGATTGCCTGTATCCCAGTGCCTAGCACAGGGACTGGCACAAAGTTTGTACTAAAAAACCACTAAAACTGAGTTGAGTATTCACAACAATACAGAAATCCTACCCATTTCCCTTTAGACTTACCAACTCTTCTGAGTCCAGTAAGACATAAGAACCAAGGAGAGTAGAAGAAAAATTTTAGAGCAACCTCCTTCAGATGCCTTAGTTAAAATTCAACCTACTGATTCATAAAAGTTTCCCAATGTTTCGTCCTTCAGATATTTCTTTTGGTGTAAATAGTAAGATCAATGTGATTAAAAGTCACCTGAAATAATTCCTCTCTGTGTGACTCAGCCAACTCTACGTGTGGTTCACTTGACTTTGCTTTTGAATTTTAGAGACTTATTTTCCTTTTCACCCACCATCCCCCCACCCAAGAGATAACTTGATACTACTTTGCTTATTAAATAGAAAAAGCAAAGTGGAGTCAGATATTCATAGGATACTAACATATATCTGAGAAGTTGCTGTGTCTTTGCTTAGATTTTTAAGAATAGAATAATATATGAGTTCATTCCAAAGCAATATATAAAGGTTTTCCTCATTTTCTTTTTTAAATAGTTGATTAGTATTCCATCTAAACCACATGTGTCAAACACAAGGCCCGCGGGCCAAATCCGTCCCGCCAGGCCTTGTAATGTGGCCCGCACCGCGCTGTCATCACTGCACTCCGCTGCGTTTCCATCACAATGACAGTTTATGACTGTTCAGTAAACCATTCGGCCCGCGATTTAGGCTGGATTTTAGATTTTGGCCCCTTCTCTGACTGAGTTCGACACCCCTAATAAACAATTCTCTATTAGATCTTCACTATTACTAAAGAGTACCATACAGAAGAATCTCGACATACACAATTTTGTATTCCTACTACTGTATCTTTGGGGTAGAGTCCTAGATTGGAGAGATTGCTGAGTCACTGGTTAAAAACTAAGTAACATTGCCAAGTCATCCCCCTCTTTCCCGTACATATAGAGGTTGTACTTTGTTATAGCTCTATAAGTAATATATGAAGACTATCTTTTTATCCACCACAGCCTTACAAAACTTTTGGATTTTTACCATTCTGAAAGATGAGAAATGGTTTCACAATATTTTGCTTTGTCTTATAGAAGCTTGGTCACCTTCCACATTTTAAACTTGCATTTTTATATGAATTCTTTATCTTTTCCTTTTTTAGACAACCTTTATATACCAGGGATTAAAAAAACAAACAAAAAACACCTATGTCATATATATGTAAAAAGTAATTTCCCTCAGCTTATTATATATTTTTAGTTTATTTTTTTAAGTTGTCAAATTCATCAATATATTTTGAAATTTGAGCTATAGTTTCTCCAATCCCAGGTAAAAGAGGAATTCATCAATCTTTAAATTAAAAACTATATGGTTCCACTTTATAAAATGTAATTCTTTGGCAATTCAATCCATTTTGGAATTAGACCGAATGAAGGGGCCTAATTCTATCTTTCTTCATGACTATCCATTAGTTCTGACACCACTCATAGAAAGTGCATCCTTCCACCAATCATCTTTAACAGGTTCAATCTCCATGTTTTGTTATTTTTGTTTTTGGATTGCCTATC